AAACATGCGAAAATGTGTGTAAATGCATTTGCGATTGGCACTATGGGGAAGATCAATGAGGATATTGGTTGGTTAATATGAATAATTGATTGATTGGTTTTAGTTTTCGAATTTAATCACTGTTTTTCTTCCTCTTGGGAATTCAGATTAATTAAGGTATCGCCGGGAATCTTGGATACCTGAGCAGCAATAAAAAAATGTCGCTGATAGGAAACTGGCATGAAATCTAAATAAGGCCAAGAAAATAAGAATACGTTTTGCTGAATTTCAAACATCACTAATTGAAATTCACACTTTGTAAATATAATGCATAAATGTAAATAAATAGAATGAATGCATTTCAAAAGTGTACAGAAAATGACATTGAAATTAGATAAGCTAAAAAATCAAAAGATGAGGAATAAAAAGTTAAGATGGCAGTAGTTTGGGCATGTTTTCCATGTATGATGATTTGTTTCAAGCATATAAGTTCCAATGGTGATATTAATTAATTATTAAAAATCAGAGACTCTGTTTGCTAATATAAGTATGTTGTGTAAATTGTGTAATACATATTCATACATTGTGTAACATATATCAATACATTATGTAACACATATCAATACATTATGTAACACATATCTCAATACATTGATCTTTAAACCTACATTGACACAAAAAGGAGTCTGACAATCAATGTGAGAGAAATTCATTTATTTTTCCCATGGCTTGAACCTTCAAATATGACTTAAACCTACCTTAGTGGAATTGTAGAACATTATAACTTATACATATTCTTTTGTAATGTATATTCAGGAGATTATTTATTTTTTATGGTGCCATTATAATATAAAATTGGCAAATTTATTTATTCAGTTTGGTTCTGACATGCTAATCAAATAGAGCCCTATGCATAAGAAATAAACGAATATTTTGTTTTCACCAGCCTAATGCATTTCAATCAATCTATATAGCCATTTACAATCACAGGGCGAACCAAATTAAGTGATATTAAATCTGAAATATTGGATGTTACAATTTTATAATTTCCTCTTCGCAATCTATATTGTTTCCCACTTCTATTGTTGTTTCTAATGGTGATGGATATACACAGAGCCAGGATCGATGATAGTTTTCAAAGGTTTTACTCAGTGAATAACGTTCAAAGAGAATATGATATTACTGTAACAGAAATAGAAGAAAATATGTTGGAAAGTTGATATAGTTTTCAATGAATTGAGATAAGGTATAACAGCCTGTTAGATTTATCAAATAAAGTGTATGACTTCCATATGTACATTTTTACTTCAAATATAAAGTCAAGTAGTTGTTTTTATGTTAAATAACAAAATGATTTAGTTTTGCAATATTTCGATTTATTACATAAATCTTTTTCAAGCAACTGAAAATTGTTCCTATAATCATGACATCATAGACTAAAACAATTGAACAAATAGATCAGTTATAACGATTGAAATTTAAAGAAGAAATTAAGGCTACTCTGATAGACTTTCCCCACTTTCGTTAGTGGGACAAACAGATTATCACAATCAGAAAAATATTGAAAACATAAAGTATGTTGGGAATTATTCATATTGCCATCATACTAAAATGTTTATTATTTCTTCTGATATAAAGATGGAGAATGCAACTTAATGCGAGTATTGTTGATTGTTCTTCAAGTATATGTTGAATGAAAGCTGTTTTCACAAGTTTCAAGTGTTTGATTTACCTGCATTTTTAATATGAATATCTATATGGACTATAACAACAACACTGTCATCCAGCCATTCTCATATTAATGCATTGTACATGTACAATACAATGCATTAGGAAGTGTTCTATTAGCAAATCAAATATTTCAAACTTTCACCTGGTGCTATTTACACCTTAAAAATGTCACAAACTAATATATAATGTTATTGCTTTGTGTGATCATAAGCTTTATATTTTATTAATACTTTTCCTTGCTTGATATACAAATAGGATACAATGAATCAAGATTTTACAATATTTTCTATTTAAACAATAACTGTGAAAAGCTAATGATAATGGGCAACAACATCATTATGTAACACTCATACATAAATTATTACAACACCGAAGAATATTATTTTTATTCACCTGCTTTAACAGTTTTTGGCAATAATCAAAATCAGTGAGCAGTAATGACATAGAATATACAAGACAATAGATAGGTTACTATGGTGATTATATAAACCATTATATGTGTGTGATTAAATATCCATAAGATTTAAATTGGATATATGATGTCAGCAGTAATTTTAAGTAAATTATCAAAATGTGACACTAATATGAACAGAAACATTATCTGACAATACAAATTGACTTGTTTAAATAATATAACATTACACAATTAATAGAGGTAATATTCAACTACACTGTATACAATTTTTGATTAAATATAACTACCTATGTATGTACATCGCATGGACGGAATGCGTGATAAGGTGCTGGGTCTTCAGACCTCTGGCCTTTAGTTTATTTACACGAATATATTTTTTAAAAGTAAGTATGATGCACAATTATGTCACCTTACTGCAATCATTAAAGTTTATATACATAATATATACAATTTGGCACACAAAGTATAATAGCTTATGATGGACAGATTTAACAGACATTAGAAAAAAACACAGGTTTAATAGACATTAGAAAAAACAAAAAATTACATGTTTATATGCCTAGATATACTGTACATACAGTACATGAATACACAAAAGATAATAAACTACAGTATTATTTCCTTTGATGAGTGGTAAATAGATGAGAAGAAATTAATAATGATTTTCAAAATGATAATGATTAAATGTGAGGTACAAGAAAGAATTTAGTTAATTTATTTGAATCATGAAATAGAATGACAGATTAGTCATTAATCAACTATCTTCCCCAATGTTGACATAGCACTAGTCAAAGACAATAATAGTAATTTCTTATTCTCAAAACCACTTTATCTTTGAGTACAGTGTACTAGAATCTGGTTATAAAATTTGTATACAAATACTACACAATGGGGTTAAAGTACAATACATATTGTCAATTGATATTAAACCTAGTAAACAAATCTTGCTAAATATTTAATTTAATTTCCTCTTCACCAAATGGGAAATAAATTATTTAAGAGATGATGAATATTCTGTAGGAAATGTTAGTCTGTCCTGAGAAATTAAATGGAGGTACTTGAAGGTATTTTATTGGTTCGTTAGATCAATATTTTACCTGCAAGTCTCATAACAACCAAGAAATCAATTTATCTTTTAATGCTTGAGAATGCAAATTTAACACCCATTGTTAGTTTTATATTGTTTCTACTGGATTCATTTCTATTGATTTATATGATAGGCACATAATGTTGCGTGGAGAATAAGAACATTAGAGCATTTAATCATTACCACAGTGTCTACCAAATTAATAACTCAACCATTTTGCCTCCATAGATATTAATTAGATAATTCAGTAATCTAAATCTATAGAAGTTAAGATACAGGCTGATAACTACATTACAATACACTAAACAGTAAATATCAAAATATATTCATCTGAATTATATTCAGTTAAATATCACATGTGCTTTTTAAATTCTCAACTTGATACATGTCACCTTAAGTTCATTAATACTGGTCTATTAAGTTGATTAAACTTATCAGTTAGTTAGAAACTAGATACCCTACCCCCTACTAACAATCCATTGAGACTGTCACTAAATCTGTTACTATGGAAACTGGAGACGCCAAAATGAAAATTAACTTTCTACCCTTTACACTACAGTTCGAAAAAGTTGCAAGTGACATGTCCATATTTGATTAATTACTGTAAGAACCTTTTACTAACAAGTACCTATCAGATATCGTTTGGAAATCAAATGGATAAAAAATCATTGAATGTATATTTTACCACACAAGTTTAGAATTATTGTAAGAGTCTTAGAAACGTAGTTAGGAATCCTTGGTCTCCAAGTTGATTGTAAGTCCATATCAGTCTTCTATTTACATGTCTGTATAGGTGTTGAGATAAGTGCTATACAAGTACACTTTACGGAGATAAGGATTTATTGTCACGTCGTTGTTGGTTGTTCTTGAGATTTCTTGAAGCTGAACAATGTAAGTTGATTCTAATCTTTGGTTTTTAAAGTTTTTGGAAACTTTATAAAAGTTTATCATGCTGGGCTGCTTGCATTGAGCAAAGTATAAAAATCTATATTACGTATAAAAAGTTTATCACAGCCGTGCATATCTACATAAATCCTGTTCTTATTGCTGGAATGCCTGTTCTTGTGTAAAAAGTGTCAGCTACTATGCGGTTTCTACCGTGAGCAGGTTTACGAATGTCCTCTTTCTTAATTACATCACCCAATCGCCATCCATATTCCCATGAGCTAGTAATTGGGAACTCATATTTTTCCTCAGGAATATATGTTTTGTAGCGGTCTTGAAGGTATAAGTATCGCCCAGTGCCTTCTTTTGAGAATCCGTGGTATAAAACCTTTTTGGTTTGTGGTGTGACGGGTCTCATTTCGATGAGCAAAGAGTCTGGGTTGCCTGAGTCGGCTAATTTGACTAAATTATCGTCCGCTTGTGTTCGACGTTTATGGAACTGTTTAGGTTGTAGCCTAGGCAGACGTTTACTCATATCTTCGGCATGTTTAGGGGCATTTTCGATTTTTCTTCGGAACACCTCATATTGTTTAGAGTTTCCAGCAACTTGAGAACCAGTTTCTCCCCTTGAAAGTTTTAGATACCATGCTAAACGTGCGTCTCTCTCTTTATTATATGATTCCTCGAGGAACTTTTGTATTTGTGTATTGGCAGGGTAGTTCCTCGCCATTTTATTGTTCTTTTAATCTAAAGTTCTACTCTTCTCTCAATATGTTCCCTCTTCTAAACTTTTGTACACACTGCTGATTGATTTAGCGCAACTGTAAACGTCGTTATGGTGATGTATGAAACGTCATAATCTCGCTACATCTCATTCAATCTCGAGATCACGTGACACACCATCAAAACCAAGATGGCGCCCAGTTTTCCAGAAGAAGTTGATGTTTTCACGATTCCACACTCAAGAATGAAGGAATTAGTGAATGGCTATTGTCAAATGGTAATTTATATGATTAAAAGATATGTATTCTTTCAAACCACGAGGGTCAACATCTTCAATTACACCTCGATTTAGCATTATACATCTGAACTGAACCTCCGTTTTTTTTGTTATTCAATTTTTTTCTAGGATATGTCTTCTATATACAGCTTACTATTACTTTACCCTTGGCCTATGGTCTAGATTTAGATTTAAGTTACAGTCTGTTTCAATGCTTCAAAGGCAAGCAGTTGAACCTGACAAATAAAAAATCTAAAGACTATTGTGCAATAATGTATGTAAATGTTCATATTGCACACGAATGACATTTGTATATCTTGACTGACTAGCCTATATCTTGGATTGCGCTTACAGATTAAAGTCTGCAACCTCTTATATTTTGATGCTTCTCTGACAGGTTAATTCTGAAAAAATAACATGGCGGAGAGACCTCATGCTCAAATTACAAGAGCGCACAGGCTTATTGCACTAAACACTAAATAATCTGAAATGTACAAATGTCATTCGTGTGCAATATGAATATATTTTTCTATACATTGTGGCACAATAATCTTTAGATTTCTTATTTTTCAGTTTCAACTGCTTGCCTTTGAAGCAGTGAAACAGACTGTAGCCTGCAACCTCTTATATTTTGATGCTTCTCTGACAGGTTAATTCTGAAGAAATAACATGGCGGAGAGACCTCAAATTACAAGAGGGCACAGGCTTATTGCACTAAACACTAAATAATCTGAAATGTACAAATGTCATTCATGTGCAATATGAATATATTTTTCAATATATTATGGCACAATAGTCTTTAGATTTCTTATTTTTCAGCTTCAACTGCTTGCTTTTGAAGCAGTGAAACAGACTGTAGCCTTAGACTAGTTCGACGTTGTAACTCAATAACGGGGTTCTTTACTATTAGGAATTTTCTTGGCCATTATTGAGTTTAACCTCCTTACTATTCTTTCCTTCATTGCAAGTTCTGGATCCATCAAAACCATTTTTCCGTGATAACATGCAACTGATACTTGACAATAATATAAAAACACATAACATCAAGCGGTTTAAACAATATTATTGTGTTAAGGTGCCATGGAAGTTAAAGGGAAATGACGAAACAGGAAGTGACAAAAAATTTTGCATTTTTAGACATTTTTGTCTGGTTTGACCTCCAGTCAATTTAACTATTTCCACTTGTCGAAACCTGCGGAACGATTAAATTGGGTACACCCCAGTTGTCCGAAACCCAGTTCTCCAAATCCCAGTTGTCCGAAACCCAATTCTCCGAAATCCATTTGTCTGAAACCCATTACTCCGAAAAATGTAGTCATAATTTACCAGAGAAAGGGGGGACATACTTAAGCTTAGGCCAGTTCCATGCCATGTATTTGGCCAAATTAATGGCATGGACGTGTGACGTTACCAGAATGGCAGGAAAGGGGGATTTATTTTACATTGAGATTCTAAAAAGGTTATCAAAACACAATATATATTACAGAACAGTTTATCTATCCTCGTATCAAAATGGATGTTCTCCCATTCTCAAGAAGTTTCATTTTCGCCATGTACTCACTTCATCTTTTTGAATTTAATCTCTATTTCTCAAACAGAGTACGTAAGGGAAGAATAAGTTTTGGTTTCAAAAGATGTACATGTAAACTTTACTAAATAAATGCCCACTGGCTTGGGAAAGCTATTTCCCCTTTTATGAACACCCACCACCCATTGGAAAAATGTTGTTCCCTCTCGAAAGGCCCATGGGCCATGAAGAAAATTGGTTTAAAAATTGTTATGTAAACGCCACTTTGCAATGAGAATAACATAATTTAACTTTGTTTGTTTGATTTTGACAGTTTTATTAAATACCAGCCCATAAAGGAATCATTCAGTTGATGAAATTTACTCTCAAATACACCCTTTAACAATGAAAAGTGCTCGTTCATAGAGCTGTAAGCTGTAATTTTCCGAGAACTGGGTTTCGGACAACTGGGTTTCGGAGAATTGGGTTTCGGACAACTGGGTTTCGGACAACTGGGTTGACCCCATTAAATTAACGCATCAAAGGCAAAATGATCATGGAGGTTAGACCTAGCCGGGGCCATAAGACATGTCAGATAAGAAACGAGGCCCAGGCTGGGTCCCGGGGGCTAGGTCTAATATTGTTGGACTAGGCTAGCCTATGGTTAGGAATCAAATTACCACATCAACATCATTGCAAGATTATACCTATTTTTAGGATTTATTGACAATGGACTTCAGAGATGTTACATGTTTTCAGATTCTGGGATATATCTTTTAACATTGTAACAAGTTAAGATAATGACATTTTTTGCAAAAGGCTTTACTTGTTTTTTTATTTGCAGATGACACAAACTGATTTCTCCAATGTTGTCAATTTTGAGCTGCTGCTAAAAAGCCTAATCAAGACATTCACCGAATTCAAAAGTCATGAAAAAATTGAGAATGAGTTCATTATGCAGAGACTTAAAACCAAACTTCGAGCTCTCCAAATCCACAACACTGCAGTATGTAATTGTCATAAAGATAATAAACTTGTTGAGGTGCTGGAGATTGTGAGAGATGGCTTTGATTGGAAAAATAAGACGCCCAATGATCGCTGGTATTATGGGGACAAATTACGAAGAGTCTTACAGGATTTTACTGAGAATTTCTTACCCCATATGAAAGAGGAGGAAGAGGTAAGAACATTTATTCTGTTGAGGAAATATCTAAGAATCTACAGTGTTGAAATTCTGTCATTACTTTTTGTTTTGGCAAATTTTCAAATTCCTATAAGTATACATCCAGTTATATGATTATTTAAATATTAGAAATAGAGAACAAAATTACCAACAATGTTTACAAAACATAAACTTAACCAATAAAGGATTTGCTATAACTGAATAAACATGAATAAATGTCAGCTCTTGTTTTTCTTTGTTTCGGTTTGACCAGACTGCAATTAGCTTCTCTGGTAAAAATTTGCAATAATCACTTACTAGTACTTTCATGATTTATCAAAACATGTTGGTTGAATCCATCTAAATCTATACTACAGTGTGTCCCAAAAAAAAGGAAACCAGCAATAGATTGCTTATTTCTCAAATATGAATAATAATAGGAAAATTTCACAGCTACCATCTGATAGGTTATGATGTCCTTTTTCTTATGATACCAAAGGTGTTTATTTTTCTTCACGGATGACTGAGTTCTAAGAGATTTAAGTGACAATGTCAGAAATTGGTTTGTGCCACTTTTTCTGTCATGAATGGCTGAACAATGAGGGATTAAAATGGCTATGCAAGACCATGTCCTATTCGTAATACACATTTCTGAACAAGCATTCAACATAGCAAGTTCATGCAGCTGACCCAAGATCAAAGAGTATTCGTAATGCTCCTCCTCATCGTCGGATTATCGTTCTGGACAGATTAAGGGCGCTGTTCAACAGAAGAGTGATTGCCTTGAACCACGAGATTGAGTGGCCACCAAGATCCCCAGACCTGACACCCTGCGACTTCTTCCTTTGGGGTTATCTTAAGGGTAAAGTCTTCACAACACCACCAAGAGACGTTGATGATCTAAGGGCAAGGATTGTCGCAGCAGTGAAGGATTTAAGGGGACAGAGAGACATCATCGGGGATGCAGTACGTGTTATGAGATCATGGGGAGACATTTGCATTGAAAGGAATGGGGGTCATGTTGAAGGACACTGGGGTTAAAACAACTTTAAATGGACATTGGGATTTAAAAGGGGTGTTAAATATGATATGTGTAATTTTAATTGGAATAAATGAGTAAAAGAGTGATATCCTTATGTTTGTTGTTACTTATCACTTTGTTATGATGGTGAAATTGACTTGGCTGAAAGTGGTACAAACTCATTTCTGACATGGTCACTTAAATCCCTTATAACTCAGTCATCCGTGAAGGAAAATAGACAACTTTGGTATCATAAGAAAGAGGACATCATAATCTATCAGATGGTAGCTGTGAAATTTTCCTATCATTATTCATATTTGAGAAATAAGCAATCTATTGCTGGTTTCCTTTTTTTTGGGACACCCTGTATAGCATTGAATTGAATAGTTGCAGCATCTAGTTGAAAAAATGGACATAACTGTGAAAAGGAGAGAATTGTGAGCCCCTGGTGAATGCATTTAAGAAAAACATGCTGGAAAACATTGAATACAATACTACTTTTGAATGCTTAATCTAATCTGTTTTGTAATTCGAAACTCAGGTCATCATAACTGTTTTCTTCATTAAAGGGAAATCCTCATTATAATAACAAACAACAATGATTCACCACTTTCTGTTTAACAGGGGAAAAACTAGGAAGTTAAAATACTAGGTACTGTAATCTGTATAAATTGAAGAACATTTGGCACCCCTTATCTAATATAATGCTGAGGGTAAATGATAAAGTGGTATTACAGGTTCTTGGCTTATATTGGGATGAACTTTCAAAAAGTGGCAGCTATTCAAAATTTTCCATGAATTTTCACCAACTGGAAAGTTGATGTTATATAATTAACCAGTTTAAACTTGCTTTAGCTATAAATTGCTGCAATACTTAAAGGAATATTCCTTGCCAAACCATCTCTCTCCTCATATGGTAGCTATAACCATATATATGCTTGCCATGTTTAGCAAAACCCGCAAAAATGTTTTGATACGGTCAAATTTGTTCACTTAGAAATGTGATGCTCAATTCCAGTAAGCTGCCATCTTTTAAAATTTCACACAGGAAGTGATGTCATCGACTCTCAACTTTGCATATAGCATTAGGTGAGGAGCTATTAAGAATTACAAAACCAGCTAAATAATCTTTTTCAACTTTGTATCTTATTTAATACTTCTGAAAATCTCTTCTTTTATTCTAAGTTGACAAGCCCTGAAAATATTTTTGCACAGAAAGTAACGATCACTTGTCTAGAAGTGATTTTGTGCTACTTTCCTATACTGTTATGGGCAAGGTTATAGAAGTTGAGAATTGATGACATCACTTCCTGCAAGAAATCTTAAAAGATGGCAGCTCACTGGAAATAAGCACTAGATTTTTAAATGATCAATATTGACCATATTAAAACATTTTCCCATGTTTTGCTAAATATGGAAAATATATATATGATTATAGCTACCATATCAAGAGAGAAAGGGTCTGGCAAGGAATATTCCTTTAAGGATATTCAAGAACTGTCAATTTCTAGATTTTGCAAGAAGTTTGTAGCGATATAAAGAAGACATCAGTCCATTCCTTTATGTGTCCGGGCAATAACTCAAAAAGCGGTTGACAGATATGGTTTAAATTTTATAGATATGTGCCTTATGGATGTAGAAGAACCTCTGCTCGAGAAAGAATTTTTAATATGTCTGCTCAAATCAAAATGGCCCTCATTTTTTGTAAAAAATGTAATCTTTTTGAGTTGCTGTTTTCTAGAGATATAGTATAGTCACTTTGAAGATGTAATTTTGTGAAAGAGTAAAAAGCCACCAATATATAGACAGCCAGACAGAGAAACAGACAGACAAGTGGTTGATAACAATTTCAAGCAATAAAGAAAGGATATTCTTTATCAGTTTTAAGAATATCAGAATTTTCGAAAGCTACATCCTCCATTTCTCTACAGGGTTGGCCAAAACTGTTACCCATTTTGATTATAATAATGGTAACATTTTGGCCCACCCTGTATGATTCTATGTTTTATAGGTGTTCCAGCCACTGCTGATGAAGTACTTTACAGTGGAAGAATTGAAGGAATTGAAGGAGGCTGTAGTACAGGCACACTCTTGGAATGAGGTGAAGTACAGTAGTGAGGAGAAACTAGTCATACCTGATGATGACCTCCTGCAGCGCAATGAAGGTATGTCTGATTGCTTTCACATGGGTTGTGTCTACTCCCCTGTGACCCAGAGGAGTTATTTGGATAATTGATACATAAATAATAACTGCCTATGTATCTTCATGTTATCATATGAGAAATACATCTATCACTATCAGTGATAAAATGTTTATGCCTTCTATTGCTGGATTTAGATTAGGATAAAGAGTATATTCTGATATAAGTTACATGTATGTTGTTTTGCCCATAGAGCCATGTTAGATCAACAAATTATCAAATGTTAAAAAGGTGTACCTGGATTAAAATCATGTTCTCTGTGAGCAACTTCTTAGAAATAGAGAAATTCAATATGATAATGTCTAATTGTATTTGTATGATTAAGTCAGAGCCATTAATTCTAGCAAGTACACAGATCCATCTGTTGTTAGTTGCAGATGCACACTGTGAAGAGACTTCCAAGACCTCTATCCTTGACCTTCCCAATGAGGTCACTGTGGAGATATTCTCTTTTCTGAATCCCAAAGAGAAAATATCTTGCAGAGAGGTGGGTGATATTTTCACTCTTAATAATTGCAAACTATGTTCTAGCAAGTTTTGTGTCATTTCCTGGGAAGATGTTAAAAGTTAAATGGGTATTACAAGCTTTATTTTTTAAATAAAATTAAAAACTAAATTCAGATCAACCATCCATCTCTATAGCAGTAAAATGTAATAAAACTCAATAAAATCCTATTATAATTTATGAAAAGCTGTCATCTTGACACTGGCCTTTACAGGACCACTTGATTTAAAGTTTCTTCATAGTTATGGGATAAGTAGTCTATTCAGTGTTCACAACTAAGGTTGGCACAATTAACCATATTGGCAAATTTTAATCCATTGCCCAATAAGCATCTAGCCCTTTCCAAGTTTTTCCAAGAGTGGTAAGCGATTGCCATTGACAGTCATGCAGCTGTGATTTTCAAACCCTGAGTCTGTTGTTTATGAATATTAAGTGTTTCATGTTATTCTACTATTCCTTCCAGGTGTGTCATCAATGGAGCGAGCTTGCTTTGGATGCCAGTTTATGGAAGATGTTCCCTGTACAGTGGGCACTTGGTAAGTCACAGTATAATGGTAATCCAAACCATCCTTTAACACTGTCACAACCTCCTGAAAAAAACACTTCAACCTCATAAACTACCTTGTCTTTCCTTGTAACATAAATGATGCTATCTTTACATAGAACACAGTTCGGGACTAAACTCTGCTTATTTGTATTTATTCTCTATGGGAAAAGAAAGTGAGGATCATATGCTTGATTCTAGGCAACATTTGCATTTGTGGGTTGTTGTAGTCTGAAACAATATTACAAATCAGTTAAGAAAAGAGGCATAGTTTAGGTTAGGAAATATCAATTCAGTGGTCATTCTTTATGACTTCCAGGAAACTGGGACTATTGCGGTAGCATGGATGACATCCCTTCTGAAGAAGAGTATGATAGTGAAGACAGCGACAACTATGTAGTTATAGATGAAGATAAAGATGAAGACACAACATCAGATTCAGATTCCAATAGTTACTATAGCAACACAGCCATACAGGTAATAATGGAGAAAAGTGATGTTATTTATTTTTATGTGTTGGTTTTACAGTTTTAAATCATTTATCAGATTGCTTTATCATAGTTTGAGAAATAGCCTATTTAGCGCTAATTGTAAATGAAGGGTTTAAATGTGAAATCAACTGTTCCTTCATTTCATTATTAAAAGTGGAGAAAATGTTTTTTATGCAAGTATTCTTATGATGTGATTCACTTGTAGATTCGTAAAGAAGCAAAGATGTTGAGTGGGATCTCCCGTTACCTGCTGCCAATGGTTGGCTTTGGAGTAGAGACATTAGACCTTGCTGGAAGTAGGGGAATCACCAATTCTGTGGTGAGTTAGGTGACATGGAGAAATAAGTTTATTATCCTCTATGATTCATAATCATTATCACACTTTTTAAAGTGCTATATTGTAGTCATTTAAATCTGTGTCGATGGGCGTGTATCTGTGGGTAACTAACGGTGGGTGGGCATCACAAAAATTTTGTCAAAATTCTAGAAAAACTGCTTACCCTTTCAACTTTTAATTTATACAGATGCAAGAGCAGACTATTGCCAAGATATGATTAGGTTTTAGGCATGCTGGATAAATTACTTGGCAGTCATCTTGAATTTCTTTGATAAAAAGCTTGATATTTATCAAGGTGTGTCTTGTTGCTCTAATATTGGCATAAGTATGGTAGTTACTGTAGAAGTGGAAACTTTAACGACGTGGAAACTTTGGCGAAATTTAGCGTTGGAGGAGAGACACCAAAATAAAAATTCGTAGAGAAAAATGTAAAAAAATATCGGTGGGCGATAATACCGTGACGAATACAGATTAACATCCAGAAGCCTTATTCATAAAGCCAACGTAGGACTTACGTCAAAGTATCGTATTACGGAAACTTATTTTGGGATTCATAAAGCAAACGTAACTTTACGATGAACGTAAAGTCCTGCGGATCTTACAAAATATTTACGTCAAGTATCTTCACCGTGTAACTTTACGCCCAGCCTTAAAAACACTGTTTATTCGTACGTTTAGTATCCAATTACCATAAGATTTTGTGAAACACTTGTTTTAGATATAATACGTATAATGTTAAAATGATTTGTCATTTGCTTGAAATCTTCAAGTATCTAGCTGGTTCCAAAGACAGGTACGAAAATGTCATCAATTTTTAGGTGTCCAAGCGTAAACAGCAACGTATCTTTCATTTACGTTCAACGTAATTTTTTTTACATCAGCAACATCTCTCTCGGGCCACCTACTGCATTTACCTATGCATAGTATAATGATGTTTTTAAAAAATACGAATCGTTGATAATCACATGACTTTGTTTATTATTTTTTGTAATTACATGCGCATTTTTAATAATTACATACAGTTTAATTGATGGTGCAGATATTGAGACACGGAAATGAATTGACATCTTTCTACGATGCAACTAAGCTTAGCATGCGTATTAAAACTTACACGTTTGGTTATTCGCATCCACGCATTCCGCCTATTCGTAACTACAAGGGGTGATCAACAAGTAACGCAAATAGAGCCCTATCTCAGAAACTAATTGGAGTTAGAACACCAAATCTGATACATTGTATCACCAAACATTCATCATTATTTCCACAAAATCTGAGGCACAAATATTACTTTATGTCGGAGTAACGGTTGCCATAGCAACCCGTGGTATGGGCATCTGAAGGAGGTCGTGAATCATAACGATAATTTATTGTGTTACGCGGTATATGGCATACATTCATGGTTGCGCGGTATTTGTGATACGGGTGAATATGTCATACTCACCTGCGGTATATGGCATATTCCGCAGGTGAATATGCGATATTCTATATACCCGATACTCACCTGCGGAATATGTCATACTCACTTGCGGAATATGCCATATACCGCAGGTGAATATGACATATACCGCAGGTGAAAACGTGATACAGAAAGCCTTGATTTGATTGGTTGCGAGAATCGACTCTAAATGTAAAACTACGCTGGATTACAAATATAGTTAGTGGTCGAGTACTAATATATGAATCCTGGATTGATTTAGTAAGTTTATTACTCAGGATTGGTGACTGATACTTCTGCTAAGTTAATATATTCGATACACAGAACTGTTGATTCAGTAATCATCATAATAATTTATAACGTTTTACTTGTTCGTTCAATCGATGCAATTGACAATTGCGTACTTCCGTATCACGTTCTCATTGGTTAGTGTGTATGCCATATACCGCAGGTGAATCTGTCATACACCGCAAGTGAATATGCCATAATCATTGCGGAATATGACATATTTTTGTATCGTGTTTACCGCGTAACATATTGAACGTCTGTCCAAAATGAGTTTAAAAGACACCGTTAATTCATTCAGATTTGATGTTATTCGGGTGTAAATCAATCTTGAAAAGTTTCTGTTAATTGATGTGATATACTAATCAATCGTGATGTCGTTATACCTACCCAACAATATAATAGGTTTGTCATTATACATGTCGATATCCAACGATAGGATGACAGAAGACACAGGCATTGAGGAAGTCAAAGTCAAGTCAGTCATACTGAAAAATGGTTGAATTGAAAACTTCAGATCTCAATAGAAGACACTCAGAGAGAACTGATATAATGCTGTATTTTGAATGAAATGTCACTGCAAAAAAAACTTATGAAATGCTAAAGAAGTCATTTGGTGATGTAAATGAACTAAGCAATGTCTACAGATGGTACAGCACATTTCTGTAAAGCCAAGAAGATCCGCTGAGGATGCTTCATGTATAGGTGCTCCAAAAACAACACGCACAGCAGAGATGATTAAAGAAGAAGAGCAGCTGGTCATGGTTGAAGAAACCGTCACTATTTAACATGAACTGGGCATAAGTTATGAGCATGAAAATGATTATCAAAAACATATTTGTGACATCGTACATTTGAGGTGCTTCGCGTGTCCATGGCTTAGGTTGCCGTGTGCCAAATCCTTCTTGTTACTTAATATTTAAGACCTGCTTCAGGTACCCATACCCAGGGTTACTATGGTAATTGTATCTTTGGTATATATCAATGTTTGTGCCTGAAATTTTCCCAAAATATTGATGAATGTTTGGTGATACGATGTTTCAAATTTGGTGTTCCAACTCCAATTAGTTTCTGATATAGGGTCATATTTGGGTTATTTGTTGATCACCCCTTGTATGTCAGAAAGTTTATTATTGACAACATCTTGTTCAAGTTCAATTTTGTTAATGAGCGCTTCATTTTCCGAAGATTGTAAAGTGTACTTGTCTTTTTTTCTCAGACATGATTTTACCGAGGAATGTGCGGAGAAAATGAAGTCGAATGGAATATGGTACGGTTTTATATAGGGGTATAAATAATCAAGAGGCAATCGTGACAACGAGGAATGCGTCAAATTACGCGTGCGTGAACGATGCAATCTTATTCAAATACGTACATGCACGTGATCATAAAATTGGGACATGATATGGGAGTATATAGTATATTATTTTCATTGCGTAAGTCCTTGCGGAAAGTTAAACGTAGATCTCCAATTTCCGCATATGTTTATGAATACGACGGAGCGATGTTTTTACGTCCAACGTACAATTGAGTTACGTGGACGTAAATGGAAATATTTACGTTGGCTTTATGAATGAGGCTTCAGATGCTGAATTTCGTTTCGAATACATAAATAATACATACCTCAGTGCTTCCTCATCGATTTACAATCATAATTAATACCTATTTTGTTTTGCAATCATGTTTTGTTGCCCTAAATGATGAAAACATTACAGAAATCAATTTTTCGGTTTTTCGATCGCAAAATCTGTTATTTGATTGGATATCTACTGTCACGTGACAAGTTACCACTAACATGAATGACACGATTATTTTATGAGAATATACTAGTATTTATTCCTAAACAAAACATAAGATACTGAACAGAACATAAACACAAGTCAACATCCACCTACAATAGTACAATAAATAGAAAAATGATAGTGAATTAGCCAAGTTTGTTACTTATTTGATTGTTTGTCGGGTATTAACACCTACTGTACCGTTTGAGCACATTGATTGGGGATTACACACAAACATAAACGACTTACCTTTGATGGTGACACGCCATTCCTCGAAAGGCAAGTTTAATTATAGGGCTAATAACTGTGATACATGTTAACATCTCGGGGTTTAAAAAATGCAACCAATCGTGTTGGTGAATAAATGCGTCATGATAATCTAATAATAAGCTTATAAGCTCGCCCAAGTAATTTTCCATTTTCTTGATTGCTGGTCCGGTAAAGTTTAATTCGGCAATAGAGTTTTAGGGACCATCTCGCTAAAGTTTTGTTTCGCTAAAGTTTCCACTTCTACAGTATTCTAAATAATGATATAATCAGTTCTTATACTTATGAATCTTTCAGATGAATAAGATGTTGAAGAGGTGTCCAAATGTGGAGCATGTAGATTGTAGTCAAACAAGAGTGGGAGACAGTGCATTCAAAGGGTATGTAATAGACACTCCATGTAAAAAAAGCTCAAATTATGATATTCAGAAAAGCCCTTGGAAACTTATTTGATCAACTAAACCAAAAAGCTTGCGAGTACAATTTCTCAAACATTAATGTTTTATTTTTGATTTCAGGTTGGCCAAGCATAGATGTGGCAAGAAATTAAAGACTTTAAACCTATCAGGTTGTACAAATATATCAGACATTGCCATGCTAAGGCTGGCAGAAGCCATGCACTACATAGACACTTCTGAAGACTACAACCATTCTGACAAGGAGACCTCTTCTAAACAACACAAGGAGACTCCTGATGCAAATGAGGAGTTTTGTTATTGTGATAGACTGAATAGATTGACTTTGCAAGGTGATCAGAATACTGACAATACTACAGTGCCAAATGATGGAAACCAGGGAATCGACAGCCACTATGCTAATCACACAGAAACACAAGCTGGCAATGAATCACCAATTGGATGTTGTGATTACAAAAACCTACGTGAGAGCAGCAGCTATAAGCTTAAATGCAAACCACGTGACTCTGTTAAGGACAAAAACCACCCAAATGCAGTTAAAAATTGTGGAACCCAGTGCCACGAAGGCTGTGATAAGACCCAATCAAATTCCTCTATTAACATTGAAGACTGTACCACCCTATACAAAAGTAATCCTAAAGACAATGGCTACTCCGTAGAGCAGGTGCTATTAAGGCCTACTGGAAAGTCAAAAGCCACAAAGGATCTGTGCAATAACAGGCACATTGATAGACGTTGGGTGTGTACCCTGGAGAAGTTAAATGTCTCCGGATGCTTTCTTGTCTCAGATGTTGGATTAAGGTATACAATTGAATAGTGTTTTCAAAATTAATTAACAATTCTCAGTGGTCTCCCAAGGTTTTTTCTCCAACAGGGTGGTAAATCCAAGTTTTGCTGTGTGCAAACAGATTTTGAACTGGGTGGGAAATAGTCCTTCAATAGGGTACAGCCACTAAAACCTTTTACATACAAAATTGAGACGCACCACCTTGAACTTGACAAGATCATTTAAGCTGAACCTATCTAATACTTATTTTACTAAGATAAAAGTAAATTTTGGTAGAAAATACATGTATCTAAAAATTATGTTTAAATTAATCTTTGTTGTATGTTATAGAAAACATGCTACAACCTTAACTTGCCATAAATGTATTTCTTAATCATTTCTAATAATTCCATTCTAGGGCTATTGGTTCACACACATTGCCAAAGTTGACACTAGTTGATCTATCAGGCTGTTTGGGGGTTACTGCTAAAGGACTGTTTCATCTTGTAAAGAGGTGCCCCAATCTCCCTGCTGAGACACTCTTCTATTGTGATAACATAGAAGATGGTCCCTATTCCTCCACTGCAAGTGGCTGTCAGAATGTGGAGTGTAATGCAAGGGTCTGCTGCAGGAAGGGCAATTAATTCTTCATATTATTCATACATATACCAGGTGAGGAAAGTGTTTTAATTACACCCTATGCAGACAGAGCCTGTGGGAAATATTGGGTGCGGCTCAAATGAGCGGAGGGTGCGGAGCTAACGGTCATTTTTGAATTTAAAATTGGGATATTTCTGAAACTAAGCCGTTTTGGGACTTCAAATATACCAAGATATGTGTATTTGACACCAAATATCAATAAAATTGTGAAAATAGTAGTGCAATTCATTTTATAGCGACGCAGTATGCCTTAAACATTTCCCAGACCTATATATTTTGAGACTATCCTTTTAATACTGCGTCCCCAACATTCATAAAAAATGGTGTTCAAGATACACTACCCATGCAAATTATTTTTGCATCTTGGAAGCCAGGCAGTATCTGTGTGATTTTATAAAAATTCGGAAATGTTCTTCAGATATGAGCCCCTCTAAATATTGGGTGCGGAGCTATGTTTATGGAGCTGCTCCGCACCCAATATTTAGAGGGGGCTCATATCTGAAAAAATTTCCGAATTTTTATAAAATCACACAGATACTGCCTGGCTTCCAAGATGCAAAAATAATTTGTATAGATAGTGCACCTTGAACACCATTTTTTATGAATGCTGGGGACTCAGTATTAAAAGGATAATTTCAAAATATATAGGTCTGGGAAAGGTTTAAGGCACACTGCGTCGCTATAGAATGAATTGCGCTACTATTTTCACAATTGTATTGATATTTGGTGTCAAATACACATATCTTGGTATATTTGAAGTCCCAAAACGGCTTAGTTTCAGAAATATCCCAAATTTAAATTCAAAAATAACCGTTAGCTCCGCACCCTCCGCTCATTTGCTCCGCACCCAATATTTCCCACAGGCTCTGTCTGCATAGGGTGAATTAGGACTTCCAAATATCTATAGTATTTCAATAAGGAAGTCCGTGTCATTTAGAGGAAGGAGTAAATGGCAATTTCAACTGAAGTGTACTGATTTCTGAAAAGTTCATTTGAAAGACTAGTCAGCTGTTTTTTTTTTAATGATGACATCTATCTTTCTGTAACTCCTTGTACCATTACATAGTTTGTATGATATACCATTAAACAGCTACACCATCTTTTCAATTTTTTTTTAATATTTAAAGATGTCATCATGGTATTATATACTGCTTTATGTTGCCATCTTTTAAGTAATTATATATTTCTCTGTCTTTAAATCATCTCTGATATTTCCATTTTGTGGTAAATGGTGAATCTAAAGTGCCAAAAGATGGTAGGTAGCTAGTTAAGATTCAAAATAATCAAAAATAATGTTAGGTTTATGTAAGACTCTTAAATCATGCCTTAGAGACAGGGCTTTATGTTATCAGTATTGGCTTTTCATGACTTTACTTTTACCTTGTCCACATAGACTAATAAACATTAGAGAGAGTGCTAATCTGACTTCTCATCATTTGTTTGAATATCTGTTTTGCTCTGTTATAATCATACCTGGAACCAACTTACAGATTGCTGGTATCAATTGATTTTTCAATCATCATTAGAAAATATTACCCCATTTAAAATAACATTTGTTCAATTTCTGTACTTTAAATGTGGCTTTGTTGATTTGCAAAATGACGCAGCTGCTGAAATATATATCTGCTTAATTCCTGGTTTTATGAGTGACACCATGAAAAATATATGGAATTTCAAGGTCTGATTGCTCGATATCAGTCAAGTGATCAATCACTAGATGACCTGATCACTCAGCTGTGATATTAGTAATCAACCACAGAATATAGTTCTATGGGCCTCTGAGGAAACAAGATTATGAAGGTTGCATATAAGTGATTGAGTGATATTTTTTAGAGTGGAAAAACAATTGGTTTCTGTCCATGAATTACAGAAGAATTACTCCTTTGAGAAATCACCCCTTGGTTGTTATTCCTGGTAATGTTCATTATGTCAAGTTATAGGAAAGACTCGTGATGGATAAAACTACCTCTTAATATCTACAGTAAAACCTGTCTTATCCAAACGCCATTGGGACCGGCTGAAAGTGTTCAGATAAGGAGATATTCTGGATTTTGAAGAAATGTGAACTCATTTTCAATAGATATATATAGTACAACATCATACCAAAGAGAGAATCTGATTCAAATGAATTTATTACCAATTAATGTTTTTTCCAAAAGTTTGAACATCATAAAAAGTGATGAAAAGAAAATATTTGAGCGATTTTGCATAAAACTTGTGATATTTTATGAAAAGTCTTCATGCTAAACAGATTCTTTTTTTTCAAATATTACTGTTCATTGTTCGAATTAGCAGGTTTCCCATTCAAGGTTTTTAACATGGTTGCCAATGGAAGGGAAAATGCGATTAGAAAAAAAGAGTTCATATTGGGAGGTGTTCAGATTAGGGATATGTTCAGATAAACAGGTTAATACTGTACTATGTTCATTTCAAGGAAATCTAAAAAATGGCACAAAATTACATGTTACGTGAGTTAAAACTTGCGTAATTGTCTCATTCACTTGATCTATTGTCAGTTTGAGAGCTCTTCACAAGGCAACGTCTTGTTTCAGGAGTATAATGATAGACATTTAGTCTGGGAAGGTACGTCATATCTATTGTTAATTGACAAGTAACCCCCTCCCCTTCTCTTCTTGTTGTTTACAATAACAGACTAGAACGTGACATCTTGCTGGTTAATTATGGGCAAATAAATCTTCTTCTTTTTCATTTTCCTCATCTTTGCTGATTCTTTTATTCAACCCCTTAATTAGACTGTACTTTTTGTCACTTTGTCAATCAATTATAATGTTACTATTGTGGAGATAAACTGTCTATCCATTTTTGCCAATGAGAAACTTAGAAACTAAACTCAAAATCTTGTAAAAAGGCTTGCACCCATTCTAAAAACCTTTTCACTCACACTTGTAAAAGCAGCAAAAATAAGTGAGAATCGAAAACCTACGCAAGGAAAAAATTTCAGAACATGTATGTGAAAGGGTAAATACATGTTCAAAAAATTGGTTTGATAGCTAACTTACTTGAACTAACAGAACAGAACTAATTGATCAAACCGTTTGAGCTTAATATTATTCCTTAGTATCTAGTTTTAAATTAGACGTGTCACATGTAATATTGCCATCTTGTGCTGTGTGACATTCTACTAATGTTTGAAGGATTATTCTTCTGTTTCGAAGGAAATGCGTTGATGCTATTCTGATAGAATCAATTTATATTAATGAGTTATTTTCTCTGTGAGAGACAACCAGTGGGAAGATATCATTGCAACATGGAAGTACTCATGGAAAAACTTTTGATGAATTGACTTTAAGTTGGCAAAAATAGACAGACTGGTGAATTTCCTGAGAAGTAATTAGACAGTGAAATATTATCTTAACCTTAGTGGTTGATGAAAATGATTTTTTGGAAATCGAGAATGTGTTCATTAGTCTTAACATGACACCTTAAATGTAATATTATCAATATTGGTTAACATGGCTTCAATTATTATTTAGAGCCATTATAAAGCGACACTGATAGTTTTGTGTTTTGAGTACTTTGAATGGTGAAGAAGATTGGTAAAGAATACAACTGCATTTATATCTCATGTCATGTCAATGTCATGTCATGTCATGTGCATCTTTTCATTTTTAATACTAAATCGAATTATACAGTTATATATGGACACTCATGTTTGTAGCCAGCTTTTATTTTCCAATTTATGTTTACATTTTACATGTATAATATGGACAATTTTGACCAAAAAATCCTAAGAAAAGATCAGATTTTTAGGGAGACAATTGTCATCATTGCATGATGTATAATATATCGATGTACTTTTTCCATTCATTTCCCTCAAAATGATATACTAAATATACCTCTGATTTACAAATGTACATGTCAAGTAAACTGTATTTAATCCTCATATTTGATTGATATATTTTATTTATTTGGTTACAATTTTCTAATCAGTGGTAGTGAACTTTTTTATATTCAATTTCTTGTATGGAAGCACATCGATAGAATGTATGTTTGCCTCCAGCCTTGCTCACTGGGGATATTTGACATACTTATCTTGTGATCTTGATTAAATATCATATGAACTTAATTTTCTTTATGAATAAGAGTTATGCTTCCAGTAAAAAATAGTGAATAACTAGAAAAAGATTAAATCGACTTGATTGGAAGTGCTAAGTAAACTTCGCCAGGATATATTGAGTCATAGGCATCTCCATGTGGGGAATATAACACTTATCACCCGCCTAACGATTCACCGGTTGTTAATAAAGTTAAGAGTCAGATAATTGCTTTTAATTGGCGATGTCTTCGTTATTGGTTGCTAAGGAACAATTGAGTGGTCTTCTATACACAGTAAAATCCAAGATTACTCATCAAAGATATTTTATATTATTTTACAAAAAAAAACGTGTTTAATATCTCAGTCTCGGAAAGAGATATAATACTATTCCTGATTTATGTACCATCCAGACTTATCCATAGAGTATCCATGGAATCAAGTATTGCTTGTTATCAAACTCTTATGTAAAATCAATTCAAGATTTTTTAATGATAAATGTTATTCTTATTAGTTCAAATCACAACATCGTTCATTTTATATCTGAAAAATCTTCAAAATCTTAGATGGGGTGAGGTTGCAACTTGCATTTATTAAGTACATGTAATCAATTATGCAATTTCACTTTGCATTCTGGGATGCCATGTGACATTTTTGAAGGATGTAAGTACATATGGTGAGCGTACATATAAATGCAATCAATGCTTACAACCAAGGTGATTAAGGAAAAGTCCAACAATACAAAATAATTTCAAATTATGTGTGATTTCAAGAACTCTAATGTTCTTTGTCATCTCCATATGTAATTTGATTTTGATTTTTATTAAAATGCACATGCTATTTCACATGTTATGTATTAATATGACATGTGCTGGCAATACCTGTGAGTAGATGAGGAAAACCAGATTATTATCCATCACTTGTTTAATAATTACAGTATGTCAAAAGTACATTGTTA